AGCTCTTTATATAAAGCTGCATATAAAAGTATGTCCAACTTTATCCATATATAGCAAATCTCATCTGCTTGATTGCTTGTATCATTGCAAAATGTAAACTATATTATCGGCCAGCTCTGATCTGCTAAATGTGACTATAAGGCATGAAGATATTATAAACATTAAAGGAATAGTTCACCCAAAAATTTAAATTAGCTTTAAAATCATTCACCCTAAGGCCATCACAATGTAGATGAGTTTGTTTCTTCATCAGAACAGATTTGATGAAATTTAGCATTATTTCACTTGCTCACCAATGGGTCCTCTGTAGTGAATGGGTGCCGTCAGAATGAGAGTCCAAAAAGCTGATAGAAACATCACAATAATCCACACGACTTGTAAATTTGACTTGACTTGACAGAGACTTCCAAACAAAACCAAGAGGATCTACTGTGCGTATGAAAGACTGATGGTAAGAGCAAATATATCTGCTCGCTCTTTACAGCGATTTGTTATGTCTAGGTACTATATGAGAAGTAATCATCTCTTTGTTGTAGGATCCATCCCGTAACCACAGGGCCTACAGACTGGCTGTAGCCAAACTCAGCCCTCCATACATTCCCTTCATGCCTCTACTGCTTAAAGGTAAAGTTTACTACTGAATCCAGTTGACATTATTTACTATTTATGTCATGATTTGGTGGATATAAGTTTAATCAACTTAATCTATCACTTACTCATTTGTCTGTGTAGATATGACATTTATCCACGAGGGAAACAAGAACTACACTGATAAACTGGTCAACTTTGAGAAAATGGTGCGAGTATTGCTTTGATTTTAAATGTTGCATTAAATTTAAACTCTACACCTTAGACAACACATTTAATATGTGCTTTTTCCCTTATTTTCAGCGCATGATTGCCAGAACAGTGAAGACAGTTCGACAGTGTCGAAGTCAACCTTACGGTATGGCTCCCCCTAGTGGTGTGGCACACAGGAAACCAAAGTGTTAAAGCAGCACTATGTAACTTTTTCTGTGTTAAAAATTTGCAAAATGTATCCACCTTTTTCTTCAATGCGGAAGTAAGCCTAACTGTGCGTTCACACCGCCGCCGTCGAGAAGTGGCCGGAAGTCATTCATTTTCAATGTGAGCGTAAAACTGTTTGCACTACAAACCAGTGTATTCATAATTAAGATAATACATTAAAATAATATGATAAGACGCACTAACTTTCGATATTAAGCAGCAAAACGAACTGTTTTGTTCAGCTAAAAATAGCTGGACGCAGATGAGACCGGAAACCAGACCCATAGAATTTGCAAATGGCCGCGCCCATTTTTACGACAAGAATTCATCTTCCAACCCGCCTTTTTGTCTTATTCCGAATCACTACGATACACTTATAATAAGTACTTATATTTGGACTATTGTAGCCTGGTCGGGTCGTCACCGCTGCGGAGTAACACATACCTGCATGAATCGCCATAGACATAAACTTAGAGAAGTAGCTCCGGTTGGAATGTTCTTCCGCGGGATGTGTGCAGTTCTGTTTATTAACCGCTAGAGCGCCAAAAGTTACATACTTTGTGCTGCTTTAACACTGTAGAATTTCATTTTCTTGTCCTTCATTGAGTTCAGACGAATTGAATTCAGCAATTAAGAGATATTCTGTCGTTTTGTGCTTTTGCAGTGCCTTCATCTCCACAGAAAGGCTTGACAGAAAGAATGTTCTTGGATGCCCAAGCTATTCGATTATCAACATGTATGTTACTCTTTCTTTTTCCTCAATATGATATATAATGCGAAAACGTGGAATAAATCAGCATGAGTGTGTCGTTGCAATTCAGCATTGATGTTTCACTCACTCATATCTTGCAGATTCAGACCAGTCCCTGACCCTGCGCAGTCCAGCCAACATAAGACAGTACATCCAGAACCTCAAAGTTATCGACAATCAGAAGAAACTAACTCAGCTCTCCAGAGCCATAGAGCGCTGAGTCGCCGCAAGACTGCCTTTCTTCAGCCCATCCTGCTCCATATTGGAGAACAAAAGTGATTGATGGAATCCATGATCACCCTATGTGTGGTTAATTGGTGTAAATTCTCACAAATTTCCTTTAGTCAGTGCTGCGTGGACTGTGCAAAGCCAAGCACTGGCTGGGAAAATGCTGACAAGGGACAGTTTCCTTTTGATGCCTTATCAGAAGTGTTCTGATCTGTCTGCTGTGACTAATATGTGCCGTATCTGACACACTACACCATGAGCAAAGAATTTCACTTCAGTGCTGCTGGCATTAACTGTTAAAAATGTATACCATGACAATGTTGATTTTGATGACAGCTCTGTACCTCTTCGCCACGTTCCGTCTGAACAAGCAACATTGGCTTGGGCTGTTTTTAGAAGCATGATGTGGTGTAAAGTTGTTGTTTTAGGGACAAAAACCTGAACAGCATGTCCGTAAATAAACATTATATAGACATTTTGACTGACAGTTGACTCTGGACCATTAATTTATTGAAACTCAATGCACATAAATGCAGTGATTTTTAATAAATCTATGGTCTATCAGCACTTATTCCTTATTAAACAGTATTCTGGCCTGTTTTGAATATTAACTTTTGAATTTCATTGTGAGCAAGCACTGGAGAACAACAGATTGTTACTAGCTGCTGTATATAAAAGCCAAATACCACTAAGCTAAACCAGTTAAATACTATGAAAAGAGCACAGTTTTGTAGGATTTTGATATAAAAGTATATACCTTATGCATTTTTTTCTTAATGAAGTGTTTATTTTTATATAAATAAATTATTGAACATTTGTGGTGCTATTTCTTTTTTGGTTTCAAATTATTTATTCACTTAGTATCTCTTATTCCAATTTTTTCTCCAAAATATTTTCTCCCCAAAAACAAAAAAAAACAATTCAACCATAAGTTGTAAAAAAAAAAAAAAAAAAAAGATTTATTTTAAAAAGCAAAGTGTAAATACAAATAATTACTTGAACATCCCTCTGATTCTCCCCAATATGGGGCGATGAAATACGTCAAATCAGTATCAACTGAAAATTAAAATAATCTTCTCACCAAACATATTTACAACTTAAAACAAAATCATAAATGGGGATTTGGGGCAGTTTAAAAAAAATGAAGACATACCCAGTGTTTCCTCCCGCTTAAAATACAAAAATCTCAAAACTAAAATCTAACTTTTGGAGGAATAAGTAATTTGTACAAAAGAGATTCAAAACATTACTAAGGATTCAAGTGGGGTATGTATCAGTTATTTGATTTTGTACTAATTCGAACAACCACATTTAATTAGTAAACCCTGCACATACGTACAATATGACAGACAAAACATGTCTTAAATGACATGATGTTTCGATTTGACAAAAGATTATTGGACCTTTTTGGCAATTGAGTCATGTTTCTGTATTTTTTAGACTACAGCATTACGCTGCTTTTTAAATTATCTAAACATCTGGGTTAATTTCAACCCTCAAACTGGGTGTTGTCTTCAAATAATCCTTATTTCTGAGAACTTCACTAAAATAAAGTATTAATATGCACGACAAAATAAGTTGGAAAAAAAAAATACAACAATATTGCACTTCCATACAGATTTCCTACACATTCCACAGTTCCAGCTGCTTTCCCTTTCTAGGTGGCTCGCTGAAACAGGAGTTTCACGATGGGTGATTGCAGTTACTTCCTTTCTGATTCGGCCACTTCAGCACCATGATGTACGGAGGCATTTCTACAGACTGTGGCACTCCATAAAACCAAAAAAAAACTCATATCTTCACATCCAAACACACACAAGCAGATGATCACAAAGACACACATACGAAAAAGACAAAACAAAAAGTATACAGGTGTATTTCAACATTCAGTGGATGGATGAGGCATGCTGCCTTGGAAGAGGTTTGCTTTCAGTCTGAGAGTCAGTTCATTTTGCACCGACAAACGGACTTTGCGGAAATCTCCTTCCAAGCCCACAGTGGTTCTCGGTTCACCCACAGAAATTTGGAGGGACGACCCTTCCGCTCTTTGACCCAAGAGTCTGTTAGCGTAACGGCAAAGCACAGCTCTGCTTCAAGGCATCGGCGAGGTTTCACAGACTCGGCGCGGATCCAGTTGAGTCCCAGATGACTTTTAAGGCAACGTTGTCGCTTGTTACTACTACGATAACAGGACAGAAATGGCTGACATTCAGTAGGGAAGAACGATCGACTTCCGCGAACGATCCTGACAATGTTTTCCGCAGAAATCTTTCCGCGGCATCACCTGAGAGTGAAACCAACCTGGCTTGCTTTCTTCGAAAGACACAAAGGAGACTGAGCTGAAAACATCTCATTTGAAGTGAAAACCCATTCTATTAGAAAGCACACAACAAAAAAAACATTTAAAACATCTTCATAAAAAGAAAAAGAAAAAAGACAGCAGGAAACTGGAGATGAGGGTCCACGGTGAGGTATCCGACTACCTCATTTTCACTCTCAAAGCACAATAAATGAGCAAAACCTGTATCAGTATCTTTGGTTGGTTGTGAAATACTGCATAGAAGATTTTTTTGGTGTAAACCTACACGCTAAAAATGTAAAATGCTATACTGCAGATGCTGTTTAACCATCTGAAACACATGAGCAGCTGCGGACTAAAAAGAAAAAAACTAAAAGAAACTGTTAAAAATTCAAAGATCATAAATGTTACTCTTAATATTAGTGCAGACTGTGTCGGTCTTGGGCAAAATCCGTAGATTTGCTGCCATTTTTTCCTTTAGCAGGTTGCCAGGCAAGACAAGTGATCCTGAGCTTTGGTTAAGATCTGTTTGTGAGTGGTAGGCTATAGGTGGTGGTTAAACCCACATCAAGGAAAAACGATAACATAAAAGAAACAATGTCAACATTCATTTGGCTTTAAGTCCTCAGGGTCTCGTGATCTAGTGCAGTACAGTGAAGATCCAGTGATCTTTCCTCCGTATTCCTTTACTGCAGTCTAGTCTTTGTTTGTTTGTTTTTAAACAGCAAGTAACCTCTCTTTGGATGGCCTCCGGTTAAGAACATTCTTCGGGACGTGTTTTCTGAGTGCTCTTGTGTAGTTTAGGCCTCGGATGCAGCCTGAGGTTTGAGCTGGGCTTTTTCCATGGCCGTGCCGTACGGAGTTCTCTTGAAGAAGCCGAGCTACAGGAAGCAAGAAGAGAAGGAGATCAATTTACGATTGGTTACCAGATATTCCTATGGTGATAAATAAGAATTAATTTACAACCTAGCCAAACAAAGAAGCATAAGTAGCAGTTACAAATTTTTGCCAAATGTAAAGGATAAGATTTAGATTACAATTAGTTACTAGCTTGCTCGACTACAAAGTATTGTTTACGAAGGATAAGTATTAGTTTACGATTAGTTACAACCTGACTTTGTTTCTCTTGTGTTATTATTATATTTACTTTTTTATTATTATTAGGGCGGAGACCGTTTTAATTGTTTAGTTGTGCTGATTTTTATTTTTTTTTTACTATTTTTGAATCTCTGTACAGCACTTTGGTCAGCCATGTGGCTGTTTTGTATATGCTATATAAATAAATTGAAACTTGAAACTTGAAGATAACTAGTCTCTCAACTAGTCTGACTACAATAGATAAGAATTAGTTTACAATCAGTAACAAGCTAGTCTAGCGATAAGGAATATGGTTTAGTTAATGATTAGCTAAACGTTAGCCCCATTATGAAAGAATTATTCATGATTAGTTAACTCAACTATGAAGAAGAATTTGTTTATTATTTACAATATGGTCTGAAGAAGAATATGATTTATTATATTTATGATCAGCATGTGATTAGATGGCGCATAACATTTAGTTTACAAGTAGTTACTAACTTTCAAAGATTCAGATTTATTAATTCAATTTGTTAATGATTGTCAACAGGTCAACCAGTCCGGCAATAATGGATAAGAATTCGGTCCTGTCCATACGAACGCGGTTATTTTTAAAACCGCAGCTTTTTCTACGCGGTTAGGCCGTTCGTCCACACGCAAACGCAGCACCAGTTCACTGAAACCGAACATTTTTGAAAATGCCTGCCAGGGTGAAGATTTACAAAAACTCCGGTTGCAGTGTTGTCGTGTAGACAGCGAAACCGGAGTTTTGGGCTTGTGACGTCGGAGCATGCGCTGTTATCTCCGCCTACTGGAAACTTTTTCAGGCTTCTGATTGGCCAACATGTCTTTAAGGTTGAGATTATATCGCCACCGGTTGGTTTGGCATGCTCTTGACAGTGCTTCATAGCATGCGTTTGCGTTTTCATGTGGACTGAGATTTTTTTTTTTAAACGGAAGAAGGAAAAACACTGTTTATAAAAATGCCCGTGTACGTGTGGACATGGCCTTCGTTTACAATTAGTAACAAGCTACTTCCAGGATAAGATTTAGTTATGATTAGCTACTAGTTACTTTACTGATGGTTGCAAGCTTGTCTGACTACAAAGGAAAATAATTTGTTAATGATTAGCTTGTCCAACTAGATCATCAAGCCTGACTAGAAATCAAAAATGGCAGACACTGACCTTGTAGAGGACGTAGATCAGCAGTGCGAGCAGCAGAAGACCGGCTAGAATAGCCAGAATGATGATCCACAGAGGAACAGCATACGTACTGTCTGGCTTATTCCAGACCACAGGAGTGACCATCTACAGGTAACAGACAGAAGATGAAGATCGGTGGATGAATTAACTAATACAAACTAACTAGATTATGTCTAGTGGCGAACATGAATTCGATTAGATGAGTTAGGTATGAAGTTTACCTTTTTAGCACCACTAGGAGTCACTTTTGGCAAAATGGCATATGGCATCTTTTCCACTTTGTAACTAGCAAGGCACTCCAGAATAAAGTTTTTATAAGGATTCTGCAAATAAAGCATAAAAACACATTTAGAACATCAATAACGGAAAGAAGGTCAAATAAATGTCTAAGTGCTATAGTAAAAAGTTAAATAAATAACATGTAAAACTGGCTGTGCATTAGAATGTGACTGGTGGTTCTGAACTGAATAGGCTTTCTATGTAACAATCTCACATGCATCCAGATGGGGGCAGTATGGTTTCACTGAATCCCAATGTTTCAACCCCTCTGACATTCCAATCCACTGAGCTCTCAGAGTTTCTCCTAATGTATTTTCAATGCACTCACTTATAAGCTTTGTATTGGCTAGAACTGCAGAGAGCATGTAAGGCGTCTCTCAAAAGAGCTCCTGTTTGGAGATATCATCTGACTCTCTTTAACATACATTTACAAACTCTGTTAGCTCACTTAGTAGTGACCACGCCACACACAGCCACGCTTTTCATTAAAAACTTTGGAGTCTGAATTTTGGCTGTATGAAAGCTTGTACAAGCCACGCTTTGCATTTATTGCAGTATTAGTAATAATCTAGAGACGACAGCTTTGGATTGCTGGCACCAAGGTTTTCTGCTCACCTCCATGAATGTTTCTGCCCAGATCCGTGAGCGAACATGCAGTATGGCACTAGTCCCTCTCTCCAGCAGGCCAACGTTACACTTTAGAGTCCAGCAATCCACACTGGAGCAAGACTAAGACATCAACAAAAAAACAGAAAATAGAGAGAGTGTTAATAATGATCAGTTTATAGAATCAACATAATGAAATTTACAGAAGTATTTCATCACACTGCATGTTAGCACCTGTCATAACTCATTACAAACCCTTCATAACAGCAGTCATTTAAATAAATAACACTGAAATGTAATGATGCCATAAAAGATGTGCTCTTTAAACAAACACAGACCATGTGAATTAAATTTCCAGGCAGAAATAAATAAAATCACCATAAAAGCATGCCTGCCTGTCGTGTGGGACACAAATGTTAATTAAAAACCCAAAAATAATTATGAATGTGAAGATCCGGATGGAGAGATGGGACCATGAGACAGACATTCACGTCATGAGCCAATGACGATGACAAAAGACCTAATGTTAACGTCTTGTGCATCGACTGCTTTAAATTTGTGGGAATTCACTGGTAGAGTCACAGGACTGTAAAATCTTGCCTACAGTTGCCTAAAGCCAAATTCCGACCATCTGACGCAATAACATTTAGCTCACTGGTTTTTACAAGCTGTACATTACCACATTCGTCATCGGATCCTTGTAACGTGACATTCGTTTCATTAGGAGTGTGAGGAAATAATGATCACAGAACATACAAATTTCCATATAGTGGTACATGGACCACTTCTACGTTTGGGGTTTGCACACACACACACATATATTTGTGTGTGTGTATATA